TTTTACAGATCTAATACCTACGTATAATCAATATACAGAGCTATTGATTTAACAGTATAAAGACTCTCCATTCTATCCGTATTAGTCATCAGAGCAGAGAGGTAATAAAAGGGCCAAATGAATACCGTAAACAGTAAGGTCTCCAAGCAACAAGCCTCTTAAAATTATGAAGATGAGAAAACAGACCATATCATATGTCTATGCAAGCAGCTTCACAGATTCATCAGAGCAACGCTGATTCATCCTGGTCAAAGACATAGCTCAAATTCTTATTTCTGTACCATCTTCTGTAACAGTCAGCTCAAGGCAGTGAACCTTTACAATCCTAAAGGCTAAGCAAGGTGTTACCTTTAACTGTATTACAATCAGACAATTAAAAACACCAACCCACCACTTCGATGCAAAACAAAGTGATTAGAGCTTCTTTCACAGAAGTCTCAAAGTTTCAGCGGTTGCAATACAGCAGCATCACTGGAACCTAGTAGATGTTATTGCAAGAGAGATCACTATTTAAAACAAGGACATTTGTTCTTCCTCTCCTCATGATGCTATCTTATCACAGTCCAAGTGTTTTACATCAGCACACTAAAATTATGTGTAATGAAAAAGGATGTTCAAGATAAATTCTAAGAGTTACAAAGCAAATACTTCCTTTCTCTGTAAACAATATGACTGAACCCACTTCTTGAAGAAATCAAGCTATATTTATATTCACCCTCTTGAAATGCTACAGGCAGCCATAGAAGGATAAGTTTATAACAAATTGCTATATTTGGAAACCTTTGTTGCTAAGCATCTTCTAACATTCAGTACAGTTTATACCATTCACGTCCCTGCTACATAATTAACATTTCATATGTTTTCCCAAAGGAAAAGTGCAGTGCTTATCTTTGTTGGTAAATTAAAACCATTATAATTTTTCAGGGAATTAATAAAAGACTGCGTGGCCAATTAATTAAAGCAGAAGCAACGAGATCTCGGGGCATACAAACACTGACATTATAAGCAAGGATATGGCGGAGTCTATCTTCTAGACACTGCCTCTGCTTGAGAGAAAACAACTCAGAAGGCAGCTGTTTGCATTAAAAGGTAGCCTACTAAATAATTTAGGTCTGCTGTGGTAGACCTCTCCCAGTCTTAAGAACACGACTCTCAGCTGCACACATAACTAAGGTCTTTTCTTGTCAAGAGTTCTGCGCATGCGAATCCCTCGGAGAGCACAAGTCAAGAGTCTAGCACGAGGAACCTGTTGCAAGCTGATGTCCACAGGATGGGGTCCAGTGCCCATCAAGGTTTTTGCAGGTTTTCCCTACTGTGCTGTTAACCTGTATGAAAGCGTGCAGTTAATTGTGGAAATCACAAGCATCCTGCTAGGCAGCAGAGAATCACAGCAAATCCCATTTTCTCCAATGCAGTCACTAGAGACCATGTAACCTTGAACAGAGATGAGGTACACCAATTCTGAAAGCACTGCACCTAAGCCAGTGATACTTGCCATGTCAGACATACCAGGTTTACTTTCCATTTTGCTGGGACAATCACACTTATTTGTAAAGCAGAAACAGCACTTGCTCAACATGCGATGGGGGATACAAGTGCCCTGCACAATATAGCTACAGATAGCTAGCAAAGATAGCTACATGTACAGAGCGGATGCCTGTCACCCTGGTGTCAACTCCTGCAACAGTGCCAGCTCTCACAACACATACATGGCACCGCAACTCTGTACATGCCATATACACAGGGGCCTAGATACGTCCAGCTCAAGTTGAGCATTAAAGGCTGCTGAAACTTCTTTATGACTTCATGAACAAGCGCAGAGTTGCTGAAGAGATTAGATAACTTGCCTGTCTGACCCCAGAAGTACCACTAAGCAATTTTTGCACCGGAGAACAAACTTCTGTCAAGAAAACAGTTGGTGTACGTGTAACATAGCTACTTTTCATTAACACATGTTCTTCAGAGTTATACAGAAGACAAACATCAAAGCTTTCATAACGAAACATCTTAGGAAACCTAACTCTAGATGCAAAAGTAAAAGATTTCCCTATCACAGCCCTACAATTACTACATTTACCATGTTACATTAATTACTACATCCTTGGTTTATACAAGCAGTATATACACAATATTACGTATGTGTTAAAACAACAGAGTTGAAATATGAAGATAAGGAAGGATGAGTCCTTTGGAAATTATCGAAATGTTGCACTGAGATCCTAAACATATCTAGCTTGGAAACTTTCAGACTTCCCAGCCACAAATGATGTACCTAAAGATATAAATGGGGTAACCAGGACTCAAGGGTCTCCCAAAGAGACGGCAATACAATTTGCAAGCGACAATAATCTTCTACCAAAAACTGAACATGTATTTCAGAGTTCAGAATTCCTGCTTCTAAATTAGTTTCCATGTTTCACCTGTACTTAAACACACATCATGTGTGAAAGTGGCACAAGTAACCTTAAAATTTGTGAAAGAACTCTTAACTCAGATATTGCCTGAATACTAAGCATTTTGGTTACTGAGAAATGCACAGCTGTGGTCTTAAATATATGTTTATATTGTGGTTTATGTTGTAATATATATAAAATATTATGTTCAATTTTGAGCCCTACATTACCAAAATGTTATTGACAAATTAGAGGGACTTCAGAGAAAATCAGCATAATTTCTCAGAAGGCAGGAAGGACTTATTTATGAGGAAAGATTAAAAGAGCTAAATATTTATAGTTTGGCTCAGTAATGAATGAGGAGGTAGGGGACATGAGAACAGTCTAGAGATATCTGAAGGGTGTAAACATGAAGAAGGGAGAGCGAACGTGTTATACAAGGATGTAAATAGAAATAATGGGATAAAACTAAACAAGGAAAACATGCTGAGTATCAGAGAGCACTCCTGGACAGCAAGCTGTCTCGGCCCACAGCACAGTTTAAGTGAAGCAATAGAATCCCATTGCTTGGAACAACAAACAGGACTAGACAAAACACTGGAAAGTTTGCCATATGGAATAACCTTGCTCTACTGCAGAGAAATATTACCTCATAAAAGCTAATCTTTTCTAAGTTTAACTTCAGTAAAAACAATAATGCTTTACAAGGTATTGAAAATGTAATATGAAAAAAAATTATATCAAGATATCATTCAGAAAAAAAAAATGCAACTAAGAAAATTCCTTAACCATGAGCAACTTGAATTCAGTTTATGTAATACTTTGACTAAATCGTGCTTCTGCAATTCTTTGAGAAGGGCTGCACAGAGTTAACGGCGCTGGACCATATTCTCCCCAGCAGAGGTCCCTCCAAGTTAACAAATGACAAGGATATTTAACAGCATGGATTCAAACTTCAGGAAACAAAGTCAAAAAAAAGGAGACATCCTCCTCTCTCATTCCCAGCACTGGCTTTGGATGCAAAGCTCCCAGAAAACAGCATGTCCCACAACCAGTCGCAGGAAGATGCCCAAAGTTTTGGATCTACGTAGCACATAATGTTCAGTTTGTGTAATATTCAAAATTTATTTTAGACAAGACCCTTGCGAAGTGGGTAAATACCACTTATTTGCAGCTGGATTATGAAGAGTCCAGAATCGATGTGCACACGAACAAGTAAAGCCTAGGCTGGGTCATGTTTGGAACTGAAACACACCACACTCCACTGATGACATTAGTGAAGTATTCACAACATGAGGGCAGTGACACAGGCAGACCGACAGGCTTCAGAGGAAACCCAGAGGAAGGAAAAAGGGAGTTTATCTTCCTGTTGTTGTTGTTTGTATGTATTTGTTTTTAAAAGAATGTTTGCTAACTTAAGAGCTTAAAACACAACCAAAGCCAACAGAGAAGCACTATAAAAAGAAGAGTCTTTTTTAATTCTTGGTACATACCAAAGTCCACAAATTCATATTTGAGAGCTACCCCTTTAACATTTCTGGAAACTGGCAAGTAAAAACCTTGCTGTTCCAGGTGCCATCATCCCTAATAAAACTTCTATCATCTTCATGGTTAATTCTGATGCAGGAATTCACCATGCACCGTGCCACTGCCAGAGGAAGCTGTCCCAGTGCCAAAGGAAATAAAACTACCCAGCACATACAGCAAACATACATTTGCGAACTACAAGGGAGCAAATATGCGTAAGCAGAGCTGAAGAGTCATATTTTGACTAGACTGTTCTAAAAGGCTGCTCACGGGGAGAGTTAAGGTCCAACACTGAAACCACATAGACGCATTCTAGCAAAATGCAAGAATTGATAGAGCGTACTTCTAACATTTCATCCAATAAAAACAGAAGTGAACTCGTGTTTAAGTATTCCCTGGAACATACTGAACCCTGGCCGCGTGATGTGTGGATAATTCTCCAGGGCTATGCCTGTACCAGAGGCCAAGGGACACTTTCCAGCCCTCAGCTCGAGGCACGCTCTCCAGCTCTCCCAGCTCCACCGCACAACTCAACCCAGGCACATCCAGTCCCCTAGCCCCGTCATAGGCTCCTCATCTACAGGTAAATGAAACACAGGCACAAATTATGGAAGGGAGCCACAGGAAACACCACTCAGGACCACAGTTTCAACATCCTGGGAACCAGGACCTGCAGGACAAGCTGTGTAGTCTGAGTGACTTGGGATTTTTGTACAGAAGGTGTAGGCTCCTGAGTAGCAAACTGTTAGGGACACATCAGTTAACTCACTAAACCGCTGGTAAACTGAGAGCGGGCTAACTATCTAACATGCTAGAAGTGGCACAGGGGATTCCCCAGTGTTATTAGTCTTAACATTCAATTTTAACATCTATTCATACACGAAACAGTTTTTCTGATCTGCCCAGGAGGAGACTGGTGTTCCTCACATTCCATGCTTGGTTATGTTTTCTTTTACACAGAAATTATTTAAATCTGATTGCTTTTAATGCGATTTGTACAGACTGTGGACTTTTTTTTTTAACACAATAAAGAGACTAACAATAAAGTAAGATCCGAAGTAACGATACACAAAGTCTTACCTGCTTCCTTGCACAAGGCTGCTAAGTCTGCACCCACATAACCATGTGCGCTATCAGCCAGTTGTGTCAGCTCTGCTGCTGTGAGAGAATGAGGAACTTTCTTAAGAAGCTTTTGGAGTATGTCCAGACGGTCTTGGGCATTAGGAATTCCAATTTCTATCTCTTTATCAAAACGCCCTGGTCTGCGCAGTGCTGCATCCAATGCATGAGGACGATTAGTGGCCCCAAGTACCAAGAGCTGCCCTTCACTGCCCTCCTGAAAGCATCAAACAATGCAAAATATTAATTTTAAAATACAATCAAATGTCACGCAGCTTATAAATACACTTCTTCCTTACTTTTTCCAACTATCGCACACACTAAATTCCTGATGCTACCTCTAAAGGAACAAAGCAAACTTTTCAGATATATAGCCCACAAATGATCCCACACGACCTATCCCTAACTGCAATTTAGCAATAGTATAGGCTGCAGGCATCCACAGATAAGAGAAACTTTACTCCAACATGCACTCATCCCAGGGTCTCCTGCTCTGATGCTCAAGAACTTGCTTTCGTTTCAGGAAGGTAAGCACCAAGGAAAGAAAAAGTGTTTAAGCTAAAAGGCAGCATTGGCACAAGAACAAAAAGTTATCAACAGACCATGAATTAACAAGGATAGGAAACAAATAATTTAAGGTATCAAAACCAGCAGAAACAGGAGGTTATAAACGTTCTTGTAGGTTCAATAGGAAAAGCAAAGGTCAAAAATCCTAACCAATTTCCTCAAACTCTGCTTTTTCACTTTCAGAATGATGCAAAATTACCTAGAAGGTCTCTTGCAGTGCCGTTCTCTTTTTGTGAACAAAGTGCTTTCTCCTGGTGGAAGAACATCCATTAGCCTTGCCATCAAAAAATATGTTCTGCCTGTGAACAACTCCAGACTGAGCAACCCAAATTATCATGCAGGAAAATAATGATAAATAATGCAACCTACATACATATCACCAGATGTATTTTGATTACTTACAGCAATTAAAAATACCTGGCTAAGTTCAATGATGGACATAAACTAAAATTTCAGTTTTGTGTCCAAAACTACAATAGTTGGAGAAGGCAAAGAAAAGAGAGTGAATGGTAGAAAACTTGTTTTCTTTTAATTTCAGTTGTCAGGAAGACATTCCTCTTCTATGTCTTCTGCCCAGCGTCCAATAAAGCATTAGATTACTGTATAAAGTTTCACCTAAGCCTATTTTCTTTTTCCCCAGAATAACGCACCTAAAATTGGCTACATGATACAAGCAAAATTATTCTGCTCAGCTAGTCCCCAGGTACATGAATTGTGTCAATACAGTCTACTTACTGAGCCAATGCCATCCATTAATGTCAGCAATGAAGCGACAACTCTCTTCTCAACTTCATTCTGAGCCCCTTCTCTCTTTGGGCAGAGTGCATCTAACTCATCGATAAATATAATGGAGGGGTGACTGAGGAAAAAAAATGAAAAAATGGTTGGGTGCTCAGGAAGATTTAAAACACCAAGGCAGAGAAATGCAAAAACATGGAAAACATACAGTTCCTACAAAAAATAACAAGCATCCCACTCCTTTAGGCAACTGAAAGTTTCAACCTTGAATATGGTGTTAACTCAGAGAATGACTAACATTAGACAACTAATACCTTTAAGATGACCTACCAATCTACTTCTCTGTGACCCTCTCCCAAAGACTAACAATAAACATACCAATTTCATGAGTAAAAAAAAACATTTTATTTGCCACTTCTACAAACACAGGATGCAATAGTCTTTGGCTAATGTATTATGAACAACAGTCATCTGGAAGTCTAAAGTCTGCCTGGTTACCTAAGTCTAATTAATTTGGGCAGAATGCTACCCTAGTTCACAGGCACGTTATACCCAGTACCAACACTAGCTCGTACAGAGCTGGATTCCATGTCTCAGCACAGTACTACATTGGCCTCCAAAAATAAAAATAGACAGAAAAGATTGGATCCAGGTGAAACACTGGCTCATGCTTCCTTCTGTTGAAATAAAGCGTACAATACACCAACGATACAGATCGAGCGATTTGGCACCACCTGTAACAGGCCCTTGAAAAGGGTAGTGTCCAAAAGCATTTCATAAGCATACTAGAATTTCACTGCTTTCCTTAGAGCTAAGCTCTGTATAAACAAATTTATTTCCTTTTAAAAACCACGGCAGGAAAAAATTGCAATTCAAAGATTCTTGCAAATGTTTTTCCTTTAATAACATTAACACTGGAACCAATAGCGCAAGTTAGAGCGAATAAAATTAGCCAAAAGAACATACCGCAGAGAAGCTTCAGCAAATATCTGACGCAATCTTGATTCAGACTCCCCATAAAACCTATAATAATTAAAATATTTTAATAAAAACCATTTTTCGTCCTTTTCCAGACAACTTGGAAAACTACTGCTTGTGCGTTCCAAAATGCCACAGCGCACCCTTTCAAAGTCCCCAAGTAAGTGCACATCTACGATAATCTTCGTTCCCACAAGGACAAGAAATTAAGGCAAAATGGGACAAAAGCAAAGACAGACCCATCTCATAACTAGAAAAAAATGTTAAAGGGAAAAGCTTCTCTCTTTTGTGTCACACACAATTTTATCTGTATTTTTAACAACAAAAAAATAGTTCCCTGGAGATATTAATCTCCACAGTATCATCTTTTAATTTCAAATATGCTTTAACAAGTCACTCTTCTTGTTACAGAGCTAACACACAACTGCAGATGCAATTTTAGTCCCCTTTTTAATTTACTCCATGCCTTACACACATTTCTTAGCCAAATCCAATAAACCTCTTTTATTACGAGAAGAAATATAAGCCCTATTGGAGAGAACCTTTTCCCGTTTGTTTTTGACTCTCCTGGGCAGATAGCCCACAATCAGTTCTACAGCTACCCAATGAATAGCTGCCAGGACAGATTTAATAATAAAGGGCTAATATATTTATAGAATTAATGAAAATAAATCGGGTGGACTTACTTGCTTATTATTTCAGGACCATTAATAACAGTAACGTGAGCGCCAACCTCGTTTGCAATGGCTTTGGCAATCATAGTCTTCCCGGTACCTGGAGGGCCATATAATAGCACTCCTCTAGGAGGAGGGATTCCTTTAAATAAGCACATGCACACAAACAGAGAAGAAAGTTACTTGTGATAAATGCCACACTGCACAACCTGCACTCGCACATTTCACTCTCCTTGTTATTGCCAATTACTGGACTTCAGCATTAACTTCTTTAACAGGCGTATCATTTTGGTAACAGTGTAGGCTTTCAGTGGGAAGAGCACTCAATCTGAATGGTTCTGTAAAAAGCAACTATTTAAAAAGTTATATTTTTCAGTAGTTGAACATTATAATTCTCCCTACGATTTGTGGTGGTAATTTTCGTTTCCAAAAAATTATTGGACTGAGTACCTAATGTCCATGAATGTAATTTATTAAGTTATTCATGATTCTTACAGTGCCATTATTACAAATTTCCAACACCAGAAAGCCATTTCTCTTCAGTACTAAAAAAAACATTAAAACACTATAAAATTTCAGTAATACTGTGAGACTTGATTCAAGAATATTCCCAAATGATGAAAAAACCCACATCAAAAAGATGTGTAGAGATGTGTGCATTCAGGTAGAGAACATCAGGGACACTAGAAGAACAAGGTACTACAGTGTACAATTAAAACTGGACAGAAACTAGAGTTCGTATTACGATCTCAGGTAAAGAGCAAAGAAGTTTCAGACCAGAAAAGACAAATTTAATGTGCACAAAGCCAAAAACAGAAGGTGAAAAATTAGGAAGCTAAAACAAGAGACAAATGTTTGATAAAAGACTGACCCTGGCACGAAAGATGTTGCTGAAACAAAACCAAAAAAGAAACTTGGTTTGGTACACTGATACCAGACAGGGAATGATGCTCAAAGGACAGGTCCCATCCCAATGGTGACAGAGAATACTACAGCTGGTGTGGACAGAAAGATCGAATCTTAGGAACACACAAAAGGTAAAAACTTGACTGCCAACTGACAGAGCACAGAAATCGTGTGTCCTTACAGACAGGTTACTTCACAACAGTCCATTACAGCATGTGCTGCTCCCTCATGTGGTGTTTCTTGCACTGGCAAGAAACAGGGCTGCTGAACTCAAGGTCTAACCTCAACGGACAGCATTGCCCCACCAAAAGCGGACAAGGGCTCTCAACGTCTGGATGGTTACCAAAAGCTTGTAACTGGTGAGGAACCATCATCATCTCTCATGTAATTAATAGAGAATCTGACTAAGCACTTTTGGGACTAACTATGAGAAATGTTGATAACCAAGCAAGCTTTCTCCTAACACAAGTCCATGCGGTGATGCTGAGGTTGGAGGTCAGCGAATTAAGCTGGACCACAGGTGGATGAAGATGCCGCACACCATCCCACTGCCACCTGCCATCCACACCCAAGCAACACACACACCAAGAGCCACACCTGTGTCTTAGGAAATTGTCCCAGCAATCACTGACATCACCTCCTCTCCAAAGCAGATGTGTGGGAAGAGGTAAGGCAGAGAAATAAAAAGCCTCAAAGACGTATTATTCAAGAAACATTTATAGGTAAGAGCCCTGTCTCAATGACGCACACCTAGACACGTACAACTAGCAGACATGCCTGCTTTACGTACATATCCATTTGTGATAAACACACAGTACAGACTTTTATCTTTGTCACAAAAATCCTCTAGGTGGATGTATGTCAGATTCAGCTTTATATACGGCAACAGTAATCGTGTTAGTTTTTCCACCCTGTAATTCCATACTGAGCAGTTTGAGTAAACAGCCTCAAACATTTCCTTAAAATTTTGCAGGAACCCTACAACACACAGGGATAAAAACAGCAGAAGAATTAATCTGGCTGAGTTTTTCTCAACTTAGAAAATATCACTAGTTGACCCTACCAAAACAAATAAATCTTACGACGACATGAACTTCTGCACCTTTCAAACGCCCAAGTATAGAATTCTTTCCTATTTGATGTAAATTCTGCTTATGCATACCTGAATTTTCTTAGAGACACAAATTCCTTTCCTACTCAACTATTTTTCACACAAGCTAATCATAACCTCTTCACAGAATGTGTACAGTATAATTATAAACCAGTTTGACATCGTTTGGACACACAAGTACACCAGATCAGCGTTACACTAAATACGGTGCATATTCCTGGAATAACTCGGTTAAAAAAAAACAAAAACAAACAAAAAACCCACCCAGTCTCGTTAAAGAAAAAAGCCCTAGCATCAAATGAAGAAAGCCAACTCTCAGGTATCGTACCGTAACTCTTGAACAGTTCAGCTTGCTTCAAGGGCAGTTCAACTGTTTCCCTAATAGTTCTGAGCTGGCTGCTTAAACCTCCTATCATATCATAGGTCACTCGGGATTCACAATCACCATCTTCTGTGACACTGGTCCTCGTTTCAATAAAATTGATTCTAGTTCTTGAAGAAATGAAATAAAAGGTGTCCGTATTGCTTATTGCTCCAGTTTTGCCAATTAGCGGGAGTCCTTCACTGCCGCCTTTCCCAGCCAACTCCAAATCATCAGTGAGGTCTGCACCATCTCCCTTGATGTAGGTTTCACCACCCTGACCAGAGTCTTGACCACTGGCTGCCAGTGCAGAACTGGGTGTAACTGGTGAACCTGGATCCATCGGTTTGCTTGGTGTGCTCATAGATGGAACCTCTGGACTATCGTCAATGTCCAACTTGCTGAGTGATAAGGACAAATCTAACGTACTCATCTCCAATTCAGATCTTTCAAGGTCTGGCTCATGTATATCACTGGAAATGGCACTGCCCAGGGCAGTCAGCTCTACACCATCAGTTCCTTTCACTTTCATCACCAGGATGTTACAAAGTTTGCCATAGAATGAGAAAGCCAAGAGGTTTCCTGGTAAAACTATTTTCCCATCTGTGAGAACATAAAAAAAAAAAGACAAAGAAGAAATTTCAATCGACTTTAGCAGCAATAACATTCAGACATTCTTGTATCGGAACAATTCTTTATCAGGAAGCATAAAGAGCCTTATAAATTAACATAACAAAAGGTAGTTAGGTAATTTCAAGGTAATACAAACAATCCTTTTGTACACAAGCAGACTATACTGGATAAACATTCGCCAGTAACATATGTAATTACTCACACTAAGCCCATTTGAGCTTCATAAATTTCACACAGCATGCAAAGGGAGATTGTGGCATTAGTACTGAAAGTAAAAATTCTGTATTTTCTGTGTGCATTATAGGTTCACAATATTTCATGCTCAGCCCACCACCTTTGAGAGTCTTGGCTTAAAAAAAGGTAAGGTTCTAGCCTGTTGACAGAGAAAGATTAGGAAATGTGATCTGAATACACCCTACAGGCACCAAAAAAAAGGAAAACACGTATACAAGATTTATTATTTCCAGCCAAACTCATGAATTTGGAACGCAGTTCGTGTCTCCTGCTTCTCAGCACAGCAATACTGCTATTAATTCCTAAACCAAAAGATTCCTTTGGAGTAGAACAATTTGTAGCCAGTGATTTGAGTAGCAGTACCTTCGACAACTTCCCTTGCTGCTTGCCTGTCTTACACCACCCAATGAAAAGCAATTTTGCTTATTTACCACCAACATAAAAAAGATGCAGAGTATGGGATTTCATGTTAATACCGATCTCTTATCCCGTTTTTAGTGCCTAGTACTTCACTCTTCTTCAGAAGCGAGTAAATTCTGAAGTGCACCACAGTATCAGCCAGAAGGCCAGCCATGACTGCTAAATAACCGTAACTTGAACCAGCAATATGTATAATGGACAAATGGGACCAGGATTAATGCAAATTAGAAATTTATAGCATGGCAAAATTTGCCCAAAGACGACAGATCCCTAAAAGAAGTGTGAGCAGAATAACATCCTCTATTTTGCCGTAAGGACTTGATTCAGAACGTAAGAGGAAACTGTTTGCTTTTCTACCCATAGCTTGATAAACTACCACAAAAATTAAACAGTCAAAAGAGAGGCAGCAAAACTTATACCTAAATTTCTCAGCAGGCAGACAGACATTTCCTCAGCATTAACAGTGGCATCTTTGTCCCTGTGGTAGGAAGAAAAAAAAAATTTTTCCAAGCAGTAATTACTTCAAAACCAAGAGTTGACACCTCTAAGGCACTACGTTGATGAATACTACCCATTTTACAGTATATGATTTAACCCCACAAAGAGAAAAGATGTGTAAGCACTTTACCGTAATTTTCATATCCTATCATCTTAGCTCAGAAGGTATGAGACACGTAATTAACAAGTGTAGATATTTTGTACAATTTTGTACAATTTGGCATACTTTTTTACATACGAAATGCTGTAATGAACAATATCCTAGGTTATATTTATCATTCCTTAAGATTACAAATATGGAATGCATGCTTCTCATCTCACCAGGCAGAATGGCCATTGCTACACTTACTTAATTGAAAGAATTACAGAGAAGGTAGATCTCAGCCCTGCACACACACACACATACTTTTTACTGATTAAACAAGCACCTTGAGCACTTGCACTACTGTGCATGGCTTAAGCACTACACATCTACTATCAAAATGCATTTTCTAGTGTTTTATTTCATCGAGATTGAGTGACTCCACAGATAAGCCTTAAGCCACTTCCCTCACCAGCCCTGGCCAGGCCTACAGCATTATCTCAAACACCGTCTCGTCACCGGTGTCTATCACAATGGAACACAGGTGCCCTCAGCCCAAAGCAAGTGAAAGGTAAAAGGTGTCTTAAAGTGAACGTCTTTCTCTGGTGTTCATATTAAGACATTTTACATCACACTGACAGCTCACTGAGAGCACGGACACCGTTAACTCTCCCTGCTCCTCAGATCCACTGCAACACACAAGGCTGTGGTGACTCGCTCATTTTTCAGCGATTGTTTATCCACACCATCTTCTTCCCGTTTCATTTTGCGGCTTTACCTTTCATTAAAGCCCATTAAACCACTTGTTTTAACTCCTTAGCATTTACCCCGTACAGCCAATCTGGATGAGCCTCACACATCACCTGTTCCGTTTTCACAACGAAATAAAGGTTTCACTACATCCATTCTGCAGACGAATGTCCACAACCTTTGTAAGCACTTCCACCTGTATGACAAAAAGCACTGCACCAAGACCTAACAGCAGCAGCACCCAAAGCATTTAAAGCATGTACAGCTGCTGCAAATAAAAGTCTGATCAAAGGGGGGAGCTCTAAACCTAGACATAAAACCCCGTTTCTCAGTTCTACCGCTCAAGAAAGCCACTCGATGGACAAGGGGGTATCGTGCCCATTCAGAGTTGAGCTCTCAGAATATCATATAGCCATTCCCAGCAAGTAAACGCATCCTCGATCGTGTTGTTGGGGTCTGAGGTAGGGGACTGCTTATTTAACTAGAAGAAAAAGGTAAATTGTGCATGCAAGCAACTCCCCAGAGGTATTAATTTGCAGAGATTGAACTACACCTACAAAGCACCTAGAAAGTACATGAATAAAGAATTTCCACTAATTCTCTTAATAATTTATATTCTTACATGATAGGACAGCACTATGGTTTACAGTAAATTAACAGGCCTAAACAGACCAATTGCAGCATTCATTTTTTCTCTCCTAGAGTAATTCTATAAAAACAGTCCTTTATATGACTTTTAATCTGGTGGTACATGTCTGTAACAATCCTCAGAGCCAGACTCTTGACTAGCTGAGAGGGAAAAAACTCTGGCTGTAGAACAGTTTCCAAAAAACCTGTGGTAGTCATAAATATTTCAGAAGTTACATGCAATTCCTCTGACCTCATCCTCAGATTTTATTTCACTAAGTCACAGCTTTAAAGAAAGAATGCCTTGCACATTAACATGGGGAAATATAAATAGATTTGGCTTAGTTATTTAAAGTGGGGTTGTTTTTTTGAAATGAAGCGAGTGTCTTCAACCACTTCTATAACCGAGCAGTATGTAATAAGAGTTCCTACAGGATTAAATTGGCCACAACAAGAAGCCATATATACACCTTTTGTTCCATTTTCTGGTGAGAAGAGAAACACGGAGGGCAAAGCAAACTGACACCAGGAAGTCAGCATACAACACACAGCCAAGTTAACCAGTAAACCAGTAAAACTAAAATTAAAGCTAAACTGGTTATATTACTGACAAAAAGGAAGATTGCCTCAGCAACATTTCTGAGAGTATGGTAGAAAACAGCATCTCCTCCTTAAACTGGACAATGACAACACCGTTTTGAAAACAGAGGTTTGACAGGGAAGTGAAGTTGATTTATAGAAATTAAAGTGTTGGGACACTTTCAAGAGTTACTGTAAAATAACTTTATTTAGTAAATAACTATAATCAGAGTCTGCATCAACCCAGATGCTGACTCTGTGGAATGTTATGAGAATGACAAATATAGGGAGTCATTCAGCAGATCAGCAAACTGCTAATTTCTCAAATCATTCATGATACTGAGCAACTGTAATTTGCACCTTTTGCTCCCTTTGAGTGAATTTCAATTAAAAAAAAAAAAAACCACCTTAACCACCATACCTCTGAGTTTCCAATCCTAAAAAATATCCCAGTAAATAAAAATGGATCACAAAACCCCATACGTATAAAGGTGAAGTTTTGAAGGGAAGTCGTTAAAAAAATAATCACTCTCCCCAACCTGCCAGCTAGTAGTCCCCTTAACAGCAACAGGACTTTTCAAAAACAGCTTCTCAGACAGCAGTTTGCAGTATACTTCCTAATGACAACAGCAGCAACACGGGCTCCTTCTGACTTACATCAATTCTATATACAGATATCATTCTCATCCTTTACAAGTGATTTACAAGTGTAAAGAATCTGCCCTGACCATGCAGTTATACACCCTTGCCTCATACAAATGCAACACAGGCAGCTTGACTTCTGCTTCAGAAGGTTTTGAGCGATCATTACTATTCATTAATTTAACATAAAAGGAAGAATCTCTTAAAATTAATGAGCTTAATGTCATTATATTCTTCACAAGAGTACTACTGCACAAGTTGAGATTTTGTACAACAGCTGAGCCACTCCACTGCCCACAGACGAGGCAGCAGTTAGCCACCAGTTACTAAACTTTAGTCTTAATCCTACAAACATTTGTAGATGTTTGACTTTGTCTGGGTACTAATTCCATCAAAGCAAGAGAGAAAAATAGCATCTTCTAAGATTTAAGAGTGTGCAGTGCAAAGCAGACACCTCACAGTATGTCACTGAGTCATAACGAGTTGCATACCTCAACTTTACATCCAGTTCCTCTGCCTGGATGACCGCACCAGTCACAGGCTGCACAGTGACAGCATCACCTGGATTTACTCTCAGGTTCTTCTGTGTGGTTTCATTCAGCCCAACTTTCCCACCTGGAAAGCCTGTGGTGGGCCAAGCAGTACAGACCTAGGCAGAGTTTCAAAGCAAACAACTGTCAGTTGGGATTTTCCCTCCCCCATTTCCAGTTGACTAGTTAAAGTAAGCACTGTTCTGTTACGAAAAACATGGACTGAGGGGGAAGAAGATTAAGAGTTGGTGCCATAGAGTAAGATACAAGTAACATGAAGTTCTTAAGATATGATCCAAAACACTTTTCAAGAAGGAAGGGGTTATATTTTGCCTACAAAGGAGATAAAATAATTCCACCAGGATGCTACACCTTTTAAAATCACAGCATGGTTTGGGTTGGAAGGGACCTTAAAGACCATCTAGTTCCAACCCCCCTGCCATGGGCAGGGACACCTTCCACTAGCCCAGGTTGCTCAAAGCCTCATCCAGCCTGGCCTTGAAGACAGCCAGGGATGGAGCATCCACAGCTTCTCTGGGCAACCTGTTCCCGTGCCTCACCACCCTCTCTGTGAAGAATTTCTTCCTGATATCTAATCTAGATATCCCAACTTTCAATTTAAACCCATTACCCCTTGTCTTGTCACTACAGTCCCTTGTAAAAACTCCCTCCACCTTCTGCAGGTGATAAAACAACATACACTGTGTTGACTATGAAATGCTACAGATCAACGAAGAAAGAAGAGTAAAGGCCTATACTCTTTCCTTACAAATGTGTGCATATATAATACACAATACATATGTTGACACACGACTTATAAATTTCTTGAAAAAGTCATCAGCATGGATTTTTTTCCAGTACTGAGAATAAAGATGTAGCTACAGTGTAGAAAACACGGAAAAAACATGCTCATCATCTCTCTCAACGCACGCTCCTTTCTCAACGCATGCTACGTTTTGGCACCAGCTGGATACAAGAGGAACATGCCGAAAGCACAAGAAAAGCACTTGTAGGAACAAGAAGGAGCCTCACCTCCTGTCGCCCACCGGCGGAGGTCAGCAAGACCGGACGGCCTATGCATAGGTTCCCCGACTTCATGCTGCTCAGCGACAGCTGGGCGAGGCCTCTCCGCAACATTTTCGGAACCTTGTCATCCCCTAACGTTTCCAGGAGAAAAAAAATACAGCTTTTCTTTTTTTTTTTTCCTGCCCATCCAAAGAAATCAGCGTTTCTCACGCTCCCCAACCAGCAAACTGATAAAAGCCTCCCAGCCCCCCGTGAGAGGCAGCGCCCCGCCGCGAGGGAAGCGCAGGGACCACCCTGGGGGGAACCGCGCCGTGAGGCGGCCTGCAGACACCCACCTTCCGCGCTGACTGCCTGAGGG